GCACAAGACTTTTTAAAGGTCGGATGTTGACTCTTGTTTTTGAGGTTTTGACAACGGTTTTTTTTGCCAAGATCCAGTCTCATTAGAACAGTGATCCAGGAGAACTATCGTTCATGAGTTGGAGCCCTGGATGAGCAGTGTGTCCACTTGGAGGAGGATAGGAGGAAGTACCAGCAGCGGAGATGACAGACGTTGAGGGACAGGAAAACCAGGGACAGGGCACCTCTGATAAGAGGCTCAGCATTGAACATCATGGACAAGAACGTCGGTGCAGTACCCAGAAAGGAACCCCCAAGAAGCACCAACATGAGCCCCACAGCTCATCGTCCAATGCTGAGGGATTGGAGGATTTTGAAGAGTTTGTTTTGGATTTTGACGACTATGACTTGCTTGAGTCAATCCAAACTCAAGTGGAGTCATCGATCGAGCCTATCCGTAAGTGTTATAAAGTTGTGCTTCTGTTTTTGAAGGGTAGAATTCCAATGTTGTCCATTCAGTGAAGAGCTTAAACCATGGACATTTGACAGTAGTAAATGTTATGTCAAGCTGTTGATGACTAAGGTTGTTATGTAATCAAAAAGCACCCAGAACTCCAAATGGACATGCATTATATTCAGGTTTTGCATGGATAATCAATAATGGGGGCTGCTAGCTTAATTAACCGCAATACAACTCATTCATGGCCACACACAGAACAAGTTGGTCAAAAGTATTGAGTGAATTGACATGATGCCCAACTGCTGCTATTTCCTGCTTTCCTATTGATCCAGTTGCCCTCATTTGGCAGGTCCATTTGTGATCAGCCACTGTTTGAGTGGAAAGACATTTCATTGACCAGCTAAGTGTGGTTTGACATATTTAAAATAAATTAAGTTAATCAACCTACAATACTAATGAGTACTTTTAGAGTGTAGTTGAAAGTCTGTCAAGAAACATGAGCATTTATTCCTTTTAATAACTATGTCTGCTAAACCTCAATAATGACATCACTTTGTATGATATGGTTTGATATCCTTGTCTGGGTGAAACTGAATTCTGATTGGCTGCAGAAATACATTGATTCCCAACAAAGGACATCCAAACTTTTAAAAAACCTGCGACGGCTACCAATCGACATCTACATAAGTCTTAATTGGTCTTGAAATGTGGTCATCAGAATTCTGACTAGTATTTGTCGTTCCTCTGATCACTGTGTCTGTTAAGCCCCATTAACAGTTATTATACCATGGCCTGGGTGAATCCTCATTTCTCATTAGCTGCAGGGTGTCCATCTGGTCCTGAAAAGGGAACCCTACTTATCAATTTCACTTAAACTTACAGTTACCTGTTTTTATTATTGCAATAAATACATAGTATCAGCCACTATCGAAACATTATAGGAAAACAGTCACCAGTAAAAGCCTCAATTCATGATGTATTTCATCTGGTTAATTCTTTAATCCACATGGCATTGCATCATTTGTTTTTGATCATTCTGAACATAAATTGGAAAATGATTTGGCTTGATAGCTTGCTAGTTTTGTTTTACCGAACACCTAAATTATGTTTAGTGTGTGTGAAATGTATGCAACGTGGCTGACGTTGATACTTGCTTGTATCCCTTGAAGTGTCCAGTTGATAGCTGAGCCAAAGTGCTATATGAGCTGAGGGGAATCTCCCATTGCCCCCTGCCTCAGATCAGTTCAATGTAAGAGCAATAAACTGTGGTTAACATTAGCTTTGCTAGCTCTTGAATCTGATTTTGAGACTTGAAGTACTCGTCTTAATTTTTTACTTTTTTGCAAGTGATGATGAAAGTAACTAAGACATTGTTCTTTGCGGTGTCCTTGATAAAGGCATGGAGCCAGCACTTTACCCTACTGAGAGTAGAAGGGTTACCTCAAGGGGGTCCACCTATTCCCAATGCTGGACAACTTATAATTTGCCTTTTAATTTGAATGGTGCAAAGAGCTTGTTTCATCCTGTCTTTGACTTGCTCAGAGCTTTTAACAACCATACAATATCAGGTCCCCTGCTGGTCTCATATTATATGTCAAGAACTTTTGATAGATTACCAAAAATTGATGACATCTGACCTTTAGGCCCAATCTTAAGGCCAACCCCTGAGCCCTAACCTTAGTTTGAGGTCCCTTGATCTGGTAGCAGTCCTTTAGAAGAGACATTTAAGGCATTGGAGTTCAATCCTTATTCTTCAAAATCCCTGGTCATTTGGATCCCAAATGACCCAAATTACACCATTTAGAGCTTGAAGACCACTACCCCTCGAACTTCAAAAGAGACGGGACAAACAAGCCTCCCAAGAGCATAAAAGGGTTAGGGCCTAATTGAAAGCCAAGTGAGATGTAACCCTGGTGGCCAAAGCTAATAGCAGATCCCATGAAAGTAACCATTTTGGACCAGGTCAGTTAGCACAGCAGGAAATAAGCATTAGCCTGTTTTAAAGAGGTGACACAATTTGAATCGTACAAACTACTTACTAGGAAATAAACATTTTAGAGGCAGATTGGCATAGACAAAATTAATTCACAGCTGTTTCTCAAGAGCTTTAGTGTCATTACGATTAACATTGTTACTCGTGTTCCATATGCTATGTGACTTATGAGATATTTAACATAAATTCACGTCTAATACATGCTGCCATTCCTGTCATGCATTTCCCTTTAAACTCAGGGGTAACTCACAGGTCTTCACTCTGTGTCTATGTCTCTTTGTCTTTTTAAGTTGCCAGAATCCTTTTTATTTGGTTAACATACCAAGTTTTTTTTACATCAGATTCTTTGTATTACAAATGACCATGAGTTTAGTATTGCAGTAACAGAAACTTTTGTTTTCTCCTCAAATTTAATTAGCAAATGAAACTTGTACAATGATTGGATTTGACTCTGATAAAGAGCCAAAAGAAACAGAATTTGTGGACAACATGATACCTGGCACACAAATACATGTCCTTGTGGGACTTTAATTATGGAATGATTTTTTTTTTTAGTGTGGGGGTCATTGTTGGGATATATTTAACTTCTCAAATCCACATAAATCAGTGTTATTAAAATGGGATGGTTGGTTACACAGGGATTGTTTAGTTCTTCTAGAGTGTAATTATTCTAAAGAAAACAAGTGGCTTGTCATTGACCCAGTTTAACTATCAACTTGCCCAATTATGTCCCATCACAGAGAAGCAAAAGGATGTGTTGTCCGGTTTGCTGTCCAGAAATAATTAACGTTCCACCAATGTCCCAATTAATGCCTGGAAACCTTGAGCTGGTGATCAAATGAATGTTATTTTTTAAATTTGTTTTTGGGCTTTTATGCCTTGATTTCAGAGGACAGTGGATAGAGTAGGACTTGAAATGTATAATCAAAGGTCAAAGAACAGTTCAATGGGAGAAAAGGGAGTACAATTGAGTCCCTTTCAGCTACATTTTATTTACCTAGTTCATGCCCTTTCTCTGTGGTGAGAAAAATGTGCTCATCAGATCAGCTGGAGCAGTTCACCAAAGGACAGCTTTTAGAGTTTTCCCCTTGGGAGGGTCTGCAAACTGAAATACAGCCTAACTTCATCTTGATTTCCATTTCTCTCTGTTTCCCTGAGGAAGGCATGACGCAGCAGGACGGAACACTTTCTGCAGCTATTGCGCACACACACACACACACACACACACACACACACACACACACACACACACACACACACACACACACACACACACACACACAACACACACACACACACACACACACACACACACACACACACACACACACACACACACACACACACACTTACTCACTCTGTCACCTCCTGTAGGCCCGGCCGCTCATGTAGAAGATTAAAAAAGACAGTGTTTATTTAGTCAGAAAATTAATTCAGCGTTTGGCTGCTCTGCTGGGTCAAGGGCAGTTCTTTCAGTTCAGAGTGAAATGTCAGTTTCAAAACCTGCCAACAGATCGTTTACAGTGACCTTAAACACACCAACCCAAAACTACAACTTAACCTCACATAACCTTTTACATACCCTGACTTCTAACCTGAAGTCTTAACACTTGTTCCAGGGATTTCATTCATTACAATTCAATAAGCAGACATAGAACAATTATCTGCATGTGATGACTTCAGTCATGCTCTTTATAGATCTGACAAAACGAATAAAAGCAACACGATGGTTACTACATTGGTTAATCATTCATGTAAATGCAAGAAAATCTAAGATTAAATCAGATTAGAATACTTCAAATGCTGCCTAGAAAGTGGAGAGTCAATCAAAACACTCAGGAGAATCTTTGAAAAGTAGCCGACAGGAATGTAAACACACCTGAGATGCATTTAAAAAGAAGCCCATTGACAGGTGTTTACTGCCCTTCAATGTTGCCTGAGCTACAACGGATTGCCTAAAATCTTCCACTTGACCAACTCTGAATGAAAACACACCGGCTCTCAAAGTGGTTTGTAACAATTTGACTAAATTATAACCATTTCCTCAAATCATATAAAACATCCTTTGCCACCCCTGAAACACATTTCCACACAGGTGGTTAACCTTTTCTCCGTTTCCTGGTTAATTTATCTAAATCAAACGACTTCCTGAGCTACCCACACTTAAACAGCAGAAATGGCGAGGTACTTTCTGTAATTTAGAGACCTCCTCGTTACGCTAAACTCAATAAAATATGATTTGTGGTAAAGGAAATTGAAAATGAAATTACTCTTTTTGAACTGACAAATGTCTGCGAGAAAAAGCAGCTCTTCTGTAACAGTTTCCCATGGCGAACCTACGGCAGACTCTCACTCACCCGTGGAGCTTTCACCTTCGGTTAGTGGATATTCCTCTTGTCAGCTGGAAATTAGATTCCTGATTTTCCAGTATGGAGCACATATCCTGAGTTAGAAAGCATGTTTATTATCTGGTTTATTTACTAAGAAGTTCCTTTTATTTTTTTTCCGGTCACACTGACCCAGCAGTGTTGACCTTTTGATTTTGACTTAAATACCTCTTGTTTTTCAGGTCACAGATTTGAGGACAACCCCGGGTTGAGACGCCACCTGGTGAAGAAGTCATCCCGGTGTCAGATGAACCGTAGTAGCAACAGTTCTACACCACTTTGCAGCCTGAAGAGGAAGAAGAGGGCAGCAGATAAGAAAACTCATGAGGTTTGCTGCACTCTTTTGTTCCCCCAAAATAAATGAATCAGCATCTAGACGGCTAGGTGAACCATCACTTAGCAGACAACATAACAACATACAATTTCCACAGTTTAGGACATAAATCTTATCATCTTTAAAGCAGTATTATGGGCAAATTATCAACGATTAACACATTGAGGTTAAAGATCCCGTATTCTCCCCACCTTCACCTTTCATGTTGTCAATGTGTAAAACCTTCAGAGTATCTTTGCATGATTTCCAGCTCAAACAAACTCCTTATTTATCTTCCACTGGTGTCAGTAAAAAGCCTAATTTTAGCCTCTGCCTGAAAAAGGTTTGTACAGCTACTCAGGCCTCCCCTCACCTCGTGCCCACTGTCTTCTGATTGGCCAGCTACTAGGAGAGGGCTGCTCTCCAGCTGGTAGAATAAAGAGGTTTCAACGGCTTACGTAGAGGCTTGAAGCAGTCTGCTAAAATTTTGGTTTCATATCAGGGAATTATCCCGTGATTTGCAGAACAAGCCGTTTAGCGCCCTCCGCAGACTTATCCTGGGATTACTCCAACATACATTTACCTCATGATTTAAAACTATCAGAAAAATAGGTCAACTTTAAAAGCCTTTGATTTCAGTTGTATTTATGTTTACCCAACAAATATAAGCCCAATGATTGTTCTTCTCAAAGCTCTTGGCCTTCTCCTGAAGGGAAGTATTTTTGTCTTTAGCAGCAAACGTGCTTACTTGCTGTTTTGCTAATTTTATCAGCTGTTTTGTTGCTAGGCACTTTATACAGTGATCTCAATAGTTTTAAGATTTAAAACAAAAAAGCTTCTTCGCCCACGGGCTTGCTAAAAACAAGAGTGAGCAGAGTCTTGACAGTTAATCATAAAGATGCAAGCAGAACAACCAAAAAAAGGGCTAAAAGAGGCTAAAAAAAACTCTGGAGAGCTGATACTGAGTTGATGATTATTCTGCTGTGTTAAACACTTGAGGTAAACACAGTTGACATCATTTCTGGAACATTAATAGCTTCAAAAATAATGATCAGTCCATACTTGTGAATAAATTAAAATTCATTAGTCTTATAAAACACAATTCTCCTTTAGTGTAGTCTATTTTAGAAACATTCTTCTCTGTTGATCTGAAGAAAATAAAACCTAAAAATCCTTCCTCATGTTTGAACCAACGACACAAATCACATTACGCTTTGTTGCTCTTCGGACACTTTGCTGGACATGAGTTAAATGTTGAACGTCGACAAATGTCTCTCCAGACCATTCTCTTATCCTGCGAGTCCACACCACTTTATACTGGATCCAAACCACTTAGTTTAGTCCCCATAAACATGTGTGGACTGTGTCATTGGATTAGCTTCCTTTGAACTCGATTTGCCATCAGTTAAAGATCGTGTTCTGCTTGTTACAGTTATTTTTCTTAACTACGGATTGATGCAGTTTTCCTGTTTTATTTCAACAAGCTGTATTTTTAAAAAATACCCTGTTCCTCTTCATCCTCAGTTGTTTGTGGAGCTGAACGAGCTGATTGTGGAGAAGGACCATGAAATGCGTTGGAAGGAGCGCGCTCGCTGGATCAAGTTTGAAGAGGATGTGGAGGAGGAGACGGACCGCTGGGGAAAACCTCATGTGGCCTCACTCTCTTTTCGCAGCTTGTTGGAGCTTCGGCGCACCATCACACATGGTAAAAAGCTCCAGAATGCACGCAGAGGGAAACTAAAACTCACAACAACATTGTTTAATAGCTCTATTTCCATTTGAAGCTGAAATATAATCTACAATAATAAACATGGCATCAAACAGACATTGTAAACTAACAAACCAGTGTGTTTTTGGCTGAATTTCTCAAATATCTGTACTGTGTAGATTGAAATCTTTCTCTCCCTGATTGCATCTGGTATAAGCAGTGAGGTTAGCCCTTTATCTTCCTCTGTCTTCTTTCATTAGGTGCCATCCTTCTTGACCTGGAGCAGAACTCACTGCCAGGCATCGCCCATCTGGTGGTGGAGACAATGATCATCTCTGATCAGATCAGGGCTGAGGACAGACCCAGTGTTCTCCGGGCGCTGCTTCTCAAACACAGGTCAGGACCTGGCTAACTATCACTTTAATATTCTAAAATCAAATTTGATGTACCCACCTCACAGAGAGCATTTTTATCATCCGTTTTGAGTGGAAAGTTATCAAGTTATGCTACTAAGAAAACTAGGGGGAGAATTGAAGGCCTCATATGTCAATTTTGGACAAAAATGTTTATGAATATTTACTCAGAGTACATCAAAATGGAAAATCAAAACATACTAACAAATCAGATAACCCCTTGTACGACTCAAGTCCAAAAGCAAACGGTTTAAAGGTCATATATTATCCTCCTTTTAAGCCAGTTTAAATACCGTAAAATCCGGTGTATAAGACACACTTTTAATACCTAGTTTTTCGTCTTAAAAGTTGGCTGCGTCTGATACACCGGTGTGACCAATATACCAGTATAAAATACTGAAACATCATTACAGCGGGTGCAGCAGCCCTATCACTGCGACCTGACGTCATTAAAAAGCCATCCCCATTCATTGTGTATTGAAAGCTGAGTGCACGCTGTGCTGGGAAAGACGGCGACACAGACCAGTCTGACTGCGCGACTTTTTTCACATCTTTTCTCCCTCACAAGGTGATAATCATGTATTTACAGAAAACAGTAGTATATTTTTTCCGTAAATAAACCTTGTGGAGTGCTTTTTTGATTTAAAGAGTCCTATATTAAAGTTAAAGAGTGACCAGCGGAGTCGGGCAGCGCGACTCGCAAGCTAGGAGTCTGTACCTCACAACTTTCACTGCAGGCTGAGAGCTCAACTACCGTACTGTAGCTAGTAGGAGTGCAAACTCCCGAACGTGAAAACAGACGGGACTTTTAAGAGCGACACAGCTGCATAGAAACTGCACGTTGTAGACATCGCTGAACACAATATAAATTGTCACGCAGGAAAACAGTTTAAACTTTTTTTCAAAACAGGGTGCGTCTTATATACCGGTGTGACTTATATTCCAGATTTTGCAGTAAGTCTCAGAGCTCCTCAAAACATGTGTGTGAAGTTTCTTTTTCTAAATCCGCTCTGATCCTGTATTTGATCATGTCTATAAACCCCTCTATTTCAGCCCTGCCCAGAACAGGCTGTTTCTGTGTCTGTACCTTTAAATGTAAATGAGCGGTATCTGACCACGCCCCCTCTATGGAAGGGCTTTGGTGGCTCAGGCTTTCTTGCTCCATGCCCTATTGTTTACGGTGAGAAGGCAGACTGAGAGGGCAGAACAAACACCTAGCTGTGGGAGTGTCACCCACCTGGGGGAGGAGTTACTGCCCTTCGTGATGTCATGAAAGGAAAATCTCCAAACTTCCTGTTTGAGCATTCACATCTTCTGAAAAGTGGAGCAGGCAAAAGACGGAGAGGATGGACTTTTCTAATAATTGGGGGGTTTGTAGACAGACTAGAGACACATGTTAGTGTCAGGAAAATATGGTGAAGAGTATTTTGTTTATGTTTATTTATGTGACCTTTAAGAAGTACTGCAGAGGTATGAAATGTATTGATAGAGTCACAGAGGAGATGGACGTGTTTCAGGAATCACTCCAAAAAGGTACATTCATGTAAAATGAGCATTTCAAAGAAGCCTAACTGATCCTGTTACTGACAGAACTGCTGTGAAGGAATTTGATTTACTGCTTATACTGGCAACTTTATCTGCCATTAAAGTCCTTTAAATTAGATTATGCAGACTATTCTATCCTGCAGCCGCCCGTGGGAGAAGCTTTTTCATTGGTTTTGTGCGTGCCAAGGTTGATTTTCAGGACATTATTCTTAAATGATATGTTTGGTGGAGGAACTCCTTGTGGTTTCGGTCTGTGGGATTGTAACCATGTGAGCAGATCTTGATTAATCCACAAAAAATCCCAATCCCATTTAATACCAACGTTAGAGACATGTCCCTGAAAACATTTTCATCTTCGATTCAGCTTGTTTCTGTTTCATGTATTAACAAACCAGTCAGTGTATTGTATTAGGGATGCAGCCTTGTTTACATTACGCACATAGATTTCAGGTATTGAAGCATGAAGAAAAATTACCACATCTCTCCTCTTCCTCCGCATTAATCATTGTTCTGCTGTGGAGTTTGTTACAAACGGCAAACTCTGGGGAACTGAGAGGGGAATTTCCAAATTGTGACATTTAACAACACTTGGCTCTTCATGTGGTGTACTTCCCCGGGGTTGACTAAGATTCAGATGGCAAGACCGTGTTAAAGCTGCACTGGGTCCTAAATCCTACACCTTTTGATTTAGAGTTTGTTGACATGAAATTGTGTAAACCACCTCGTAAGTTTGATCTCTGTCTGTCGGTCTGATTCTCATAACTACAGAAGAAGAATGAGATACGATGTTTGAGGCTCTATGAAGATATCCTTTATTAATCCCATGAGGGGGAAATTACTTTTACACTCTGTAACTGAAACATGCCACACACACACAGGCTGAAATACACACACATGCACAGACAGGATCCGATTGACATGCATTAATGGAGAGATGTCAGAGTGAGGGGGTGCAAATGAAATTGCCGAGCAGTTAAGGGTTCAGTGCCTTGCTTAAGGGCACCTCGTCAGTGCTCAAGAAGGGAAGTGGTTTCTCTCGAGCTACCAGACCATCTTCCAGACTTGGTCCACACCGAGACGTAAACTGGCGACACTCCAGTTCCCAACTCGAGCTCCTACAGACTGAGTTACTGCCACCCCACATTAATGTATAATCTTTCTATGTTAAGCTATTTTTTTTTTTTAATTCTAAATCCAGATTCATTGTATTTCAAATGTTTTCAAAGAAGATGAAAGAAGAGTGACTAAACATCCAACTATAGTGTATATTTATTCAGAAGGTTTATTGCTGCAGGCTCACAAGGACAGTTGTTCTTGTAGAGTTTTTGGTTCTTTAAGGTTTTAGCATAAGCCGACTCTTTCCAGTCGATGCAATGTTTGTAAACCAGCGAAGCGGATAGTTATCAATGGATACCACCACTAACTCACAGGTGTCTGGATCTCCCATCAGGCAATTGTCTACTACAGAACATTAAAAGATTTAAATCTGTCATCCATGCTCTCAAAACCCCAGAGGGCATGGTTACATCAGATCCTGCACACTCGGCTACTCTGTAATCAAATAAAGCATGTGGATGTAAAACATGTGACATGGCATCCCCCTCTCTCTACGCCTGTCCCCTCTTATTGATTGGCAGCTGCATTGACATGCCAGCTAAACTGACCCAACCCACACAGCCAATGGAATAGTGTGCTCCATGTAGTGCATTATAGATCTGTCAGTGTTATATAAGGAAGAAAAAGGTGAACTAAATGTCGACTGTCAAGTTGAATTACCAAAAGGAAAGATAAGTCATGCCTGCCAGACGCAGATGTTGTCACCATGCTCACTCGTTCTCCAGCTTGTTTTATACGACATTACTGTTAAATGGATTGAGAAAACATTTAAGGTCACTGGTTGACGACTTCTGACTTAAATGCAAACCAAGTTTTGCTTGATAGTTAAACCTCTATTGGTTATTTCTTTGAAAAAGTGGTGGTTACAGTCACTGTGTCCAGCAGATATCATAATAATTTTGCACAAACACAGGTACCCTTTTCTAGCACCACCAGATTTTTGAAGGTGGTGGATTGTTGTTATAATTGGTTAGTGACTTATATGTATATGAATGTAAGGTTGAATTGTAGCAGGTGGTTGCTTTACATCCTGCCCCACGATGAGCTCATAGTTTTGAGATGTCGAGTACTAAGGGGGGGGTTGTGGCTCAGTTGGTAGAGTCGATCGTCTAGTTCGATCCCCAGCTCCTGCAGCCACATGTCTGGTGTGTTGGCCAAGACACTTAACAGCTGCTTTGGCGGTGGCGTATGAATGTGTATGAATGGAATAAGTTAATACTGATGGACACTTTACATGGCAACATCCACCATCAGTGTGTGAATGTGTAGGTGTGACCTGCGCTGTAAAAGCACTTTGAGTAGTCAGAAGACTAGAAAAAGCGCTTTACAAGCTCAAGTCCATTTACCATCTATTATAGCCTCTGATGAACCTTCCAATCTAATGTCCCAATGTCAGAATGCAAAAACGCAACAAGTCAATGACTTTACTCGTTATAATACCTGCTAAGTGTCAAATTGTTCCTCTTTGAACACACTTAAAGAGTTACTAAAGTCAGCACACTGATATTAGCTTTTACAACTTAGCGTAATGAGTAGAGCTGTAGACCAGGGTTTCTCAACTTATAGCTCGATGGGTAGCAACATGATAACATTCAATAAACTGGCTCATTGTTTTTAAGCAACATAAGTAACATAATTGAAGTTCAAGATGGTCAAAAAATGAAAATACATGCAGCAAAGATCGGAAAGACCCTCCCTACTCCGCCCAGTGGTTAGCTAATGCTATCCAATGTTGAAAATAAGTCAAACCTCTTGTTATTGGGTTAACTTAATACAGAAGTAGACGAGGCTCAGACACAATTCTCTTCTGACCAAGACATAATCTGATAACTCAGTTGGAGTGGAAAGTGGTGCTTCACCAGTTGATTATTAAGAGTACTAAGCGTAAATTTTAAAAAATGTTCCGAACATATAAAAAGGCAGCACATCTCAAATTCCAAGTTAAGGAAGACAAAACAGGAATATTCCCCCAGTTTACTCCACTCACATCACAATAAATTGAATGTAAAATAAACTAGTGGAGTGTTTCGTCCTCCTTAACTTGGAATTTGAGATGTGCTGATAACTATTTTTGATTACAGAAATTCTCTACCAAACCTCAAACATGCCAATGGCATGCAAAAGGATTCCTACAAATGACCCCGAGCTGCGCTGTATGTTTAATGTCACTAACAGTCTATACATCAATGGAAGTCTATTGACAATAGGACCATATTTTACCTACTCTGTTCAGAACGAAAGGTGTTGGCTGAGTCTAGATTAGCTTGCCTTTTGGTCCAGGTGTGGACTGATGTTTTTCCTTTGAGTTGAGAGTTAGTGTCACTGGAGGACATTATGTTTAAACCACAATTATTGATTAAAGGTCTCTTTATTGAGTTGAGTTCAGGAGCTTTTGATTATTCAACACTCTCTGAAGGTTTAAGTTGTCACAGTTGACAAACAATTGTTCCAATTGAACACTTTCGGGGCTTCTTCATTAATCTTGGCTTTACATTTTTTAAAGTGTTGTAATTTGATTTAATCAAGACAACTCCTGAATGGACCCAGCAGTAAAACTGTGTCGACTTTGTCAAAGTCAATAATAAATGTTCACTCACACATGTAGAAGTTTAATTTTTTAGAAACATTCATTTTATCCTCATGTCTGTGTGTTCAGCTCTCCTGTGCTACTGGTGCAGCATTCTCTGCCTGGCTCTCCCTCTGTTAGACCAGAATGGTACAGCTCGATCAGTGACAGTAATGAATAAATGCATGGATGATACTTTTGGTGTGATGATACTTGGTAATTTTTTGCACGGATGAACTTTGCAGTGTCACTAATGTGCATGGGATGGATTCTGCACACTCAAAGCGACACAACAGATGAGCGTAAAATAATCCAGCCATCAGACGTTCTTAGTTGCAGGCCTTTATGAATTAGTACCAGCTCTAACAGCCTTTTCACATAAAATTCCCAGCATGTCACTGGCTGCTTCCAAAGGGGGAAAAAAACCCTCTCTCTGTCATCATCGGAGTCATCACCAGTGTGAGATATCCGATTTACGACGTGGAAAGAAACACACTGAGGCGCTGCTCAAATTTAGCTCATCGCTTACTCGGAACACTTTAAAGATCCTTTGGAAACGTCTCGAACACAATTCATTTCAGAGTCACACCTCGTTCTTTTGTCTCGAGCACTGTCACGTCCAATTTCGGGCGCTGTCTTATTGGACCATGTGGGCCTAATGAGGGAGGTGATGTCACCATTGGCCTAAAGAGGAATAAAGCAGTGTTAAAAAGAAGAAAACTTGGCTACAGTGACACAATAAATACTTCTCTTGGAGTGGAAATGTGCTTACTCTTAAAGTCACATGCATAAAGTAGAGAAAATAAGCCTTCACAGATTAGTGTCTGGCTGTTTTATTGCTGCTCTGATGCAAATATCCCATTAGGAAAAATTAGCGTTTTCACTCAGGCTTTGTCGTAAGTGCTTTATAATGAGCTTGTTTTGAAAAGTGGATTAATTTAACAGGCATTTTGCTGATAACTTCCCGAAATGTATGACTTGCATTACAAGTACATGAGGTAAAGCTCGGAAACATGTAGAATTAATGGAAGGTAGATTATAGGAACAAGACACACAGCTGTGCTTGTCAACAACTCTGTAGTCCAGATTTCTTGCAGCCACATTAATTCAAATGATTTTAATAGGAACTTTGCCTTTATTTGAAAAGACGGGACAGAGTAGGAAATCTGAAGAGAGAGAGAGAGAGAGGGAGAGTGGGGAATGACATGCAAGAAAGGAGCCGCAGGTCGGACTTGAATCAGGGCTGCCTGATTGGAGGACTATAGGCTCCGTACATGTGGCACAGCCTAACTACTGGGCCATCAGCACCCCAACTTTTTCTATTTTTACTGATGAAAGTAAAAGGCTGGAGTGATAATTATTTGATATGCATTTATCTTAAGGTTTCTGAAAAAGAGAAAATAGTATAGTAGCTGATCTCCATGACATCTAAACCAACTAAACAGTTATTGCCGAAGGCTGTGAGTGGACCTACTGTATCCCCATTGGAGTTCTTCAGAAGCGCTTTACACGGTGCGATTCCATAACAGAGTTCTACTGCCACTACACCTTGCATTTGTAATGGTGTAACGTTGGTGTCCAAGTGCGCGTTTTCACATTACCTCACAGCGTCCGAAAGCACACAGCAGGAACTCCACATACACATACACACTCAGACATGCACACATTGCTGCACTGTTCCACCCCTGCTGTCCCCCCCCCCCCCCCCACCCTTCTGTTTCTCTTTCTACCTCCCATGTCAGATTAGGGCTAGAACAACGTTTTCCCACCATTCAGCCTCCATGTGTTACATAATGCAGGTGAGGCGTAACAGGGTCGTAATACGTTAGCACCAATAGTCCCCACTGTACTGTGATGTGATAAGCTAGTCTACTGCTATTTGATTCTATTGAGAAACCAATGAGTCAAGGGCGTGATTCTCACTGCTGTCAGTGTCCCATGTAAGAACATGTTCGAGGTTTAAGCAGTAACACTTCATAATAAGTTTAGGCCCCCCCCCAAAAAAAACAACAAGAACATTGATGTTTTACACGAGACACATAATCCACTCTCCTGAGTAAAACATGTTCCCTGAAAAAAGTCCTAAAAGCAAACTCAGAGTCAAACAGAACCAGACGATCCAGGGTGGAGTTAAGCAGAACTCTGTTAGAAAAACATGATGCGTGTAAGATGTGATTCAGATCAATGGAAAAGCCTAACAAGTGGAATATATTTCAGTAAGACTTTATCAAACACATTGGATTGGGACTGTGTTGATGTTTGTAGAAGATAAAATGCAATATTGTTCTGCTTTTCTTTGTTATTCAATTATAGAAACACCCACATTTAGGCCTTTCCATTACTTTAATATTCTTCTGATTGTTCACACGGCGCTATGTGTTTGTTTGTTTGTTTCATTACTAACAGGGTTGATTGGAGTTTAATACTTTGACTTTATCTATTACTATCAAATGCTACAGATATGACCTAATCTTTATTTTGTTTATGATTCCCATCAGCCTCAGCTTGAACGCCAATGTGGTCACTGTCAGCGTCGTAGCATGTTGTTGTTTGCACGTAGCTCAGAGCTCCGCTGTGTCAAAGAGACAGCCTCACAGTGTTGCTTACTTGGCTGAAGAATTGTGCTTTATGTCTTTATTTTTGTCTTCCAAAGCCATCCGAGTGATCTGAAACATCGCTTTCACCGCCACCACTCATCCAGCAGCCTCGGTCACGGCAGCTACAACCACAACCACGTCCAGGACACCAACCTGCCGCTGGTGACAGAGGAGCACGACGAGCACCAGGACGGCAAAGGGCCCGTATACGACCCCAAACAAGACGTGTTTGTCAGCCTGTTTGTAAGATTTCCTTTAAATCTGACGTTATTTTCACCTTCACCTCTGTAGCATTTCTTACACACATCTTTTATTCTTCATGTCCGTTAGAGAAGCTGTTTAGCAGAGATCTGAGGGTGATATGAGAGCTGGAGGGTGATAAATTGCGACACAGTAGAAACAGCACAGGCGGACAGAGCAGTGCACACGATTTGCCAAAAGCCAGAGTAACAAGTTTTGACAGGAATCCACAAGGATAATTGAACTCAGCTATCTAAATGGACGGAGATAAAAGCGATCTGGAGGTGTCTCGTTCAAGTTTATGGTTTGAATTAAGTTCTAAGAATCAGCAGTAAGCGGAGATTTAAGCATGATTACACTCGAGTCCTGATGTGAGGCCTGTGGCTCTCACATTGTTCTTTGAAACACCCTACATGAGGTCAGAAGTCGTGTAGGTAGTTCTTGAAGTCGGAGAAAGTAAGCCTCCCTGCGCCACATGTGTTGAATTATGTTCTTAGTCAGCTTACAGGTGCTCCTAGTTAAAGCTTCTTGATGCATTAACTGTGAAATCTTAATGTTCCCCACGGCTTCAAATGTTGGCAAATTTAAAACAGCCTATTAAAATAATTCTGTTCAGACTTAAAGGACCAGTCATGCACTTACTTGAAAAGAACTGTTTCGGGCCATTAGATGATTATTGTTCTAACATATATTGCTCTTCTCACATTATTGCTCCCATGCTATATAATGGTGTCACATCACGTTGGTCAGAACAATAACGCAGATAATCCCACTTCTGTTCCTTTTCCAAGAAATCGCTCCACCCTCTGCCTCCTGAGAGTCATCCGGCCGCAGCCAGATCCATGAAACTGCTCGCCAAGATTCCCAAAGATGCTGAAGCTGTCATTGTTTTAGCTGGTAAGCTCTGTTAGCTTTGACAAAGTCCAGTAGTCGGAGGGGTATGTCTTTTATTCTCTTCTTTATTTTAGACATGTCCAGGGGATAAATCTGTTAGTTGTAAATGTTTCTTTCTGCTTTGCCTCAAATTCAAAATAAAATAGTATTGCACGACAGTATGAAACTAAAATGTCATGACATCCTCACCATTGGTGGTTCGTACTTTCACGTAGACTCTGACTATCTGTTGCCTTAACTGAAGTGTGTAGTGTTAATGACGTCCACAACGCTGCAGCTGCTCTGCTCTGCGCCTTAAAGCAACATTATGTAGGAATTCAGTTTGGTGCGCTTTGGCGCCCCCGAAGGTTTCTGAGTGCAACTGCACTGTCATGAGACACAGCTGTGTAATGGCTCACAGACAATATGCATCTGTTGACAAGCAGAGTGATGATGTTGTCAGAAACCAAAGAACCATGTCGACTGACAAGGTTCAGTAATGTTAGCCGTTTTTTGCTCTCGAGAGGGTCTACAGCTCGTTGTAGAGATGACTTATTAGTGTAAGATGGATTTTTTTATTTATTTGTTTGTATGCAAACCTGAGACATAATAACTTGGGTTAAATGACTTTCTGCTGCCGGTAAAGCTGCTAAACATGAGACAACGATGACACCGATAATGATACAGCCAAAGGTGGTTAGATTGCTGGTTGCTCAGGCACTCTCTCTTTTTCTCTGCTTAGCTTCATTCATCACTGTTCTCTTCCATCTCTTCACCTCAGCCATGGTATTAAATAGTATCTAGATGGGCTGACTGGCTAGCACTGTTAAACCCTACACCCTTCTAACGAGAGAGCCTCAGCCCGCTGCCAAACTTAAACAGAACTATAAGCAGGTGACCAGGGCGATCTGTGGACATAGGAGAGATACTCCCCCTGTTAAAAGTTGTTACATATTGTTTCTTTAAGGATGTGAAAAAGTTTCTCTCTAAGCCTACAGGTTTGTACATTGTAGAACAGTTTCTGTGGTGATAGTAACAGAATTGAAGAAACAATCAGCAGAATCGTTTTCAAATATTTTGTTGACAAAAAGAAAACAGCCCGTCTGCAGGCAGAAGTGAAAATTCTGAATTCGTTCAACTTACTGTGGTGTGTCTTGGTATTCCTTCTCAGGCTGTGTTGAGTTCCTGGAGCAGCCAGCGATGGCCTTTGTCAGGCTGAACGAGGCCGTCCTTCTGGAGTCAGTCCTGGAGGTCCCTGTCCCTGTTCGCTTTCTGTTCGTCCTGCTTGGTCCGAGTCAGTCCAACATGGACTATCATGAGATCGGACGATCCTTCTCTACTCTCATGTCTGACAAGGTAGATAAGAAGCTTCACTGATGTCACATCACATTTCAGCCACAGGTCACAAAAGGCATAGACACAAACTTTATAGTTTATTCACTCTCAAACCTTTGATTAGATCTCAAAATGACGCCAATTGAAAAAAGATGAAAATGAATTTAAATCGTGAGCTGATTCTGTCCTGTCAAGCCGCAGGTCAGAAGGTAATGTTGTTTAGTTGTGTGGTACAAATCTAAACCTCGCCACTTTTTGTTTTTCACACATTTTCCTTGAAACTAAAAACGGCTCTCAAAGTGATCAGCACCGAAAATTAATCTGGTAACAGAATGTAAAGAGGAGCTGCCAAATAAAACCGCAGTAGCTCAGTCTGGTGGGTTGGGAACCGAAGGGTTTGACGGTCCAAGACCAAGGTGCGGACAAAGTATGGAAATTGGTCTGTTAGCTGGAGAGCACTGTCAAGTTGGCCTTGAGCAAGGCATTGAACCCCTCCACAAGCTAAAGAGCCCCCTTACTCTGACATCCCTCCATTAGTTAGTCCTGTTTGTGCATGGGTGTGTATTACAGCCTATGAATGTGTAGCTGTGTTTCAACAACAGAGTCTAAAGTTGAATTTCCCCTCCCGGGATTAATAAAGTATCTCTTCTTCTTTTTCTTAAAATAACTTGTGAAACAGCACTTTTCATATCTTCATCTTTCATAGAAGTGACAACAATGACTCAGGAGTGAATCAGAGAGCTACATATTCTTCTACTGCTTACACAGCCTTTTAAAAGACACCTGAGAAGTTCAACTAATAGGAGTACTTTCCATCCACTGCTGACACACAGTCAATCGGCTCTTACTTCCAGCAGATACTTAAAATGTGCACAGTTGTTGCAGTTATAAATAATAAAGGCGCTCCATACAGATTCACTTGCCTTTAAAGCCTTCTAATGATGATGTCTAATGTACCATGTTGTAGAGTTTCCACGAGGTGGCCTACTTCGCTGACGACAGACAGGACCTCCTGAACGGTATCAATGAGTTCTTGGACTGCAGCATCGTCATTCCACCCTCAGACGTGGAGGGCAAAGACCTCCTGAAGACGGTGGCAGACTTCCAGAAGCAGATGCTGCGCAAGAGGAAAGAAAGAGAGCTGAAGAAGCAACAATCATCAGTTGGAATCGAACTGAACAACAAAGGTAGTCTGTTAGGTCTTTGAAGGGCCCCGTTTTCCAGCCAAGGTTTCAATTACTTAGTAAAGTTCATGGAGGCGACTCTGATTCTTTGAAAAAAACAGGGCTAGCTATGCAAACACTGATCCCTGAAGTCTGACTGCTTTAAAATTGTTTTAGGACCATTCCCTGTGTTTGTGTGAGACAGCTTTAAATAATATTATTTGTGCTTTTTAAGCCGCTGTTAAATTAATAAAGATATCATGTTTGATTTCACCATATACCGGTTTTGGCTATAAACATACTTCACTTCTTTGTTGATTGACTTTAGAAAATGTGTATTTTGTATTTCTGAAGAACCTCGTTTTTGAACTACTTGGCAGCAAATCCCAAAATAATGAGGCCAACGCAGTGAGGAAGGCTTTTTGTATTTCTCTTTATAAACTCAGATATGAAAAATGACTTTGACACTCACTCCTTTTTTTAGTGTCACTCAGCCCTAAACACACCAACCACAAAGAAAATATAAGAAATCAGGTCACAAATCAGTTTATATTTTTGTTAAACGCTCCTTAATCACTCTTCAAAAATCCGCCGCTCTGCAGTGTTTCAAAGTGTTGCTCAAACAGCGGCAGGTTGTGTAGATGTTTAGAGGCTATCTGTAGTCGCTCAGCTCTTTGATACTCAGACAATACCTAGTTTTACATTTGCATGACAGCGTGCCTTTGATACATGATATGGAGCCATTGTGGCCGTTTCTTAATGTGACGACTGTACCAACCCCTCAGAGGTGAGTCCGGAGGAGGAGGAGGAGGGGGACCAGGAGGTGGATCCATTAAAGCGCTCAGGGATCCCATTCGGAGGCCTCATCCACGACATCCGCCATCGCTACCCGCAGTATGTCAGCGACCTCAAAGATGCCGTGGACATGCAGTGCCTCGCCGCCGTCATCTTCATCTACTTTGCCGCCCTGTCACCAACTATTACCTTTGGAGGCCTGCTGGGTAATCTGACTACAGGACGAAAACATCAACATGTCGTGTCATTCTCAGACCTGTGCTCTGAACAGGTTTTTTTTTCTTTCTGTTTTGACATGCAGGAGAAAAAACAGAGGGCATGATGGGAGTGACGGAGCTCATTGTGTCCACTGCTACCCTTGGAGTTATCTTCTCGCTGCTTGCTGGTCAGCCCCTCCTCATCATCGGCTTCTCGGGTCCTTTACTGGTGTTTGAAGAAGCCTACTATAAGGTACTCTCATCTTAAATCATGGAAGTTCTAAAATGTCATTAAGACCTACAGCAACGTGTGTAACATACTCCAGCTCTGTGCAACAGAATTCTCATTTTGGTGATTTTCTTTTTTTTAACCGCATGGGTCTTCTCGCTCAGTTCTGTCAGGCCCACGACTTTGAGTACCTGACCGGTCGGGTGTGGATCGGTTTCTGGCTCATCTTCATCGTTCTGGTGATTGTGGCGGCAGAGGGGAGCTTCCTTGTCCGCTACATCTCACCCTTCACCCAGGAGATCTTTGCTTTCCTCATCTCCCTGATCTTCATCTATGAGACTTTCTCTAAGCTCTTCAAGGTACCACATGTGCATAGCCATGTATTCATTATGAAGTCGCAGTACAGAGCCTGTCACAGAAACCAGTAACATTCAAGAAGTACTTTTAATACTTTGAGTCACATCTACAAAAAAAGCCGGTACAGCGTATGAACACTGGATGAACTGAGATGCTCTGCTTGTTTCCAGGTGTTCCATGAACATCCACTGATGGCCATATATCCTACTGACTCCACCCCAGCCACGGGGCTCAGGGACTACGAAAGCCCCGTCTTCAACCAGCCCAACACTGCTCTCCTCTCTCTGGTCCTCATGATGGGCACTTTCTTTGTCGCTTTCTTCCTCAGGAAATTCAGAAACAGTCGCTTTTTGGGTGGCAAGGTAACACACTTTACTGAGTCTCTTTTACTACCTGGATTAAGAATTACATGCTTATTGTGGGCATTTGAGGGCGCCTTGTGTCCTGAATTGACGTGCATAGTTTGCATCCTTAATGTTACACAGACATGTTTAATGTGCATTTTCTTCTACAAAAAACGTACAACTGGTTTTCGGAACATTTGAAAACCTGCGTTGTTCACAGCACATCCCACTTCTTGGCACATTTAAGGCAGAGTCTGCAGAAGAAATAAAAGTGGAGCCCAAGTTAAAAAGTGGTTAGCGCTGTTGCCTCACAGCGAGGAGGTTCCTGGTTCAAATCCCAGTCGGACAGGAGCCTCTCCGTGTGGAGTTTGCATGCTATTTCCTTGCTTGTGTGGGTTCTCTCCGGGTACTCTGGCTTCCTCCGACAGTCCAAAGACAGACCAGTTAGGTTAACTGGTGACTCTGAATTGCCCGTAGGTGTGAATGTGAGTGTAGCCGGATGTCTGTCTCTATATGTCAACCCTGTGATTGATTGGCCTACAGTCCAGGGAGTAGCCCCTGGGAGCTGGGATCGGCTCCAGCCCACCACGACCCGAACGGGAAGAGCGGTAAAAAAAATATAATGGAAGTTAAAAAAAAAAGATTGTTTCAGAGCTCAAAACTCAGAAGTTTTTATTTTTTAACTAACATAATTCAGAGAAACATTTTTATGTTTTTCCTGTGACCAGTACAGCCTTCTTCTTCCTTTTTTTTTGTTAAATCTATTTGAGGGCTTTTATGCCTTTAGGGCAGTGGATAGAGGTGGAAACCAGGGGGAGAGTGGGGAATGACATGTTGTAAAAGAGCAGCAGGTCTGATTTGAACCCGGGCCGTCAGCTTGGAGAAGGGTAGTTTCCGTGCAGTGTGCACGACCTAACCGCAAAGCCATCGGCCCCCCTCCCAGCACAACTTTCTGAACATCCACTTTGATTGTCAGTTTTTGCTGTCACATTAGGGCCTTTCATCGGACAATGAAAACAAATATCTCATGTTTTTATGCTTTAACTCTTACTGAAGTCAGTTTGGATTTGAAACGATCCTGCTCTCTGCAAATATCAGTTCTGTACATCCTCTTCATGTCTGTTAGTGAACTAGATTCACAGTTTGTGTTACAGTCAAAGCCCAAAGGCTACTCTCAATAAACACTGGTACCAAGAAGATATGACAGCATTATGTTCCCTCTGAGAGCAGAGACAGCTCGTTCTCTGCTGGTAGTAGGAGCCCCTGCAGCTTCAAATGAACTTCTATGTGACAAGACGCACGCTGACTTAACACTCCTGTGGTTGTTTTCTTAAAACCTCCAGGCCAGAAGAATCATCGGCGACTTCGGCATCCCCATCTCTATTTTATTCTCAGTACTGGTAGATTATGCCATTACAGACACTTACACTCAGGTAACTTCAATATCAAATATACAGCTTCAACGAATCAGAACCTTTTTTTTTCACTTTGATAACATTATTTCTCTTTACGTTTTAGAAACTCGATGTGCCGTCGGGCTTCTCCGTCACCTCTCCTGATAAACGCAACTGGTTCATCAGTCCCTTCGGTGACAAGCAGCCGTTTCCCACCTGGATGATGGGAGCGTCTGTTGTTCCTGCACTTCTCGTCTTCATCCTCATTTTCATGGAGACTCAGATCACTTCGTACGTACACCAGGTTTTCTGAAGAGTTGATGCAACACTGAGGTATATTTCTGTTTGATTATATAAAGTAACATGTCCCCCCCCCCCCACATCTATCAGACTCATAGTCAGTAAGAAGGAGCGCCGCCTGGTTAAAGGCTCCGGCTTCCACCTGGATCTCCTGCTCATCGTCATCCTCGGGGCCTTCTGCCCTCTCTTCGGCCTGCCGTGGCTCACGGCGGCCACCGTGCGCTCCGTCACTCACGTAAACGCCCTCACCGTCATGAGCAAAGCCACGGCGCCCGGCGAGAAGCCCATGATCCAGGAGGTGAAAGAGCAGCGGCTGACCGGTCTCTTTGTGGCTGTTCTTGTTGGTAAGCTGACAGGGAGAAATGGAAATGTTGGAGGCTAAAAACTGAGCATGATAATGAAAAAGGGAAGCCTATTTTTAAGTCTATTTTTAAAAACAATAATGAAATATGTCCCAATCAAGGAGCGTATTATTAGCAACTATACATTTTGCTGGGTTACAACTCATGAAAATCATTCACACTGTAGAAACCAAAATGCTGAGAGTTTATATTTTATTTAAAGAGAGATAAAATAGTTTGTGGAAACTTTAAAGTCCCCATATGACAGAGCTTTGAGAGTATCTGACTGCCGTGTCATGATGTACTTCTTTACTTTGTTCTGAAACGGGATAGATAGGAGAGAACCAATCACAAGATAGAAGGCGGGACATAACGTTGGGATGAATTTGATTGGATCATTAGCGTCGACAAAGCTTGATAATTAGTAGTAAACTCTCCTGAGTGCAGGAGGAGTCATCAGACATTTGAAAGTCCAGAGATGTGGACACGCTACAAAGACACACACACACACACACACACACACACACACACACACACACACACACACACACACACACACACACACACACACACGCAGAAGTCACCCCTGGACTACTATAATGGACTCTGTGCAATAACTGTGGTGTGTCAACTCCCTATATTTTAATTTATAGAGTATTTATTACATTCTTTTTACAAATGTTTACGAGTATGAATGTGAATGTGGGTGAGATGTGCTTGGATTGTGTTTTTTTTGTTTTTTTTCTGGTGTATATGAACATATTTTATATTTTTTTATTTTATATGCTGCAAACAGGATTGCTTTGTTGCATAACATGCAATGACAACAACCATATATCTATCTATCTTTACAGGAAGATAAACTACAGTTATTTAGAGGTAAAAAAAATACTCAGATAATGCTTTATTTTAAATCAAATTGACCGATGAATGTTCAACACTGGAGTGCTGGATTAAAACAGGGACAATGTATTTCTCATTTTATGGGGACTTTAACAACAACTCTGAAAAAATATTAACTTTTTTTTTTCTCCATATTCCATCAGTTAGTGCGTCATATATTTTGTTTAAGGAAAGTATTCTATTTTGATTGAACGCTCCATCTGAGTACTTAATGAAGTCTCACTACAATTAAGAAATAAATCAAACATGACACACTGAAAATGACTTTACTGCCACTTGATTGTGAGCAAACAACGCGTTTCTCCTGTAGCTTCCTCAGGTTCGCCAAGCATTAATACAAATGAATACAATGAATTGTTATACAGGGCTGCACAGTGGTTAGCGCTGTTGCCTCACAGCGAGAAGGTTCCTGGTTCAAACCAGACAGGAGCCTCTCTGTGTGGAGTTTGTATATTCTCCCTGTGCATGCGTGGGTTACTCCGGCTTCCTCTCGCAGTCTTAAGACGTGCTCCTTAGGTTAATCTGTAACTCTAAAAATGTTCCCATAGGTGTGAATGTGAGTGTGGCTGTTTGTCTGTCTCTATACGTCAGCTCTCTGATTGACTGATGAACAGTCCAGGGTGTACCCCAACTCTCACCCAATGACAGCTCCAGCCCCCTGCAAAAAGCGGCAAAAAAAATGAATGGATGGATACAATTGCACATCCGTACTGGACTATACAAAAAGATAACCAAGTGCTTTTGAGACAGTGCTACAGCGCTTGAAAAGACATTTTAACAAGTGCATTCAATAATATGTCCGTGTGTTATACTTCTCTACAACATTATGACAATGCTGGAATTAGAGGCAGCACTTTGTCTGACGGAAACAGGAGTTCAAAGGTACATCACGGCGCCTCTGCAGCTCCGGCATGTCTGGGCATTCATGGAGCATGAATCTGCTACATTTTTAGATTTTAGATTGTGTTTATGAATTCTCATCAAAATGAACCAACATCAACGGTTCATTTTCCAAATCAGAATAGTCAAAGTGAGACGGCTCTGTCCGACATTCCCACATTGTTTCTTTCTCTCTTCTGGCTTGCGCTGTTTTTCCAGCAGAATATCTTGTTTCAATTAAGGTGGTTCCCAAAGTCGTCGTTAAGCACAGTTTGATCCTGTTCGGGTACACAGGCGTAATGACTCATCGTGATTGTTGAGCTGCTGTTTGATTGAAACGCTGTTCGGATCAGGGGTAAGACCGTTTGGATTAGCTCGAGCAGTGTTTCAAGCGAGGCAGCTGAACAGTGGATAGATTTCAAATAAACAGCAATTACAGCCTGTTTATCAAGAGGGCTGTTCACATCTTGAAGGAATAACGCTCCCCACACTTGTATATTATTGTACATTTTTGTATCATCTGAAAAAATAATATCTGTTGTCATTCAACAAAAACCTCATTTTTAACCACATCCCATCTGTCAGGTATGTCCATCGTGATGACAGACGTGCTCCGCCTCATCCCGCTGGCTGTGCTCTTTGGGATTTTCCTCTACATGGGGGTCACCTCTCTGACCGGCATCCAGCTGTATGAACGCATCACGCTGATGGTCACGCCCGCCAAGCATCACCCCGACCACATCTACGTCACTAAGGTAACGTAAGCAATACGACTGTTTACATACCCCTCGTCTTCTTGTTATTAGTGGTGAGGTGGGGAAGCCAAACCCATCAGAGCGGTGACTGCAGCTAAGTTCAGGCAGCGTTTGGTTTGGAGCGTTGATTTTGAGCTCGGTTTGATAAACCAAACCAATTATTCAGGCTCTCTTGTTCATTATACATCATCTTCACTCAGGTTTCTATGGCGACGTGAGTCGTTGTGCTCTTTACGTGCAGCAAATGTCAATTCTTAACCACCAGAGAAAAACAAGCAGAGTAGGGCCGACGCCTGGCATGGAGAGAGTGAGATCTCTGAGCTTCTCCATCTGAACGTCAGTGATGGAGGGATGTAGATTTAGAAAAGATACAGATGATTGTTGTTTTATATAATCTTTATTTTCTGCTAACTGTTTTGTACACGTTCTTAATGAATCCATCAGTCAAACTTTATTTAAAAAGCAGCTTTCAGACAAATTCACATGGAGTTCAGAAAACTTCACAGGAGAGAGAAAAGAGGTTGACTAAAGGTAGTTTTGAAAATGATTTAGAAAATAAGAATAGTCATAAACTGGCTCAAAGTAAGTGACAAAGAATGGTATCACAAATGAAACAAGGTTTAAAGGAAGTGAAGTTAGTGTTAAACTAAACTTAAAACAATCATGAGTATGTAAATCTGACAAATCAGTCATGAATGTAATGTGTGGATGAGTGGAGTGTTGTGAAGTGCAAACAGAAGCAAACCAGCTGGTGGAGGCCTGACAGGAAGAGAGAGAGAGAGGAGAGAGAGGCCAATTAAAGCCGAGTCCTGATGGACTACTAGGTGTACCCAGGTCACTAATGGCCTTCCTGACTCCGCCTACTTTCTGCTGAACCAGGAAGCCGAACAAACCAAACACATGCAGACAGACGGCAGGACGTCACAGAATACAACAAAGATGGATGATAAACACGATAAGAGACAAGAAATAAAGACCAAGCAATAAAATAATAAAAAATAATACAGGTAACACTTTAAATCAAAGTCACAATATTCACCATTATATGGTGGTTTATTAGCATGCTAATTAGTAGCAAACTGGCTGCCTATCAGTCATTATTAAGAGCGTATTGGTACCTTATTCTACATGATGATCGCTAACAGGTCATTAACTAACAGTTAAGAGTTTGCCCTCCGTCAATATTCCCATGCAGCAAAATGCCCGACGTCGGATTTGAACCCACGGCTCTACATCTGATTGGAGGACTCTTGCCTCTGATGACTTACATAGTTTTAATACTGGTTAGTATGTAACCAGTATTACCAGTAACATTCTTTGAATGTATGTTAGTATTCAACCAGATAATGTAGAAAAGATGTAAAAATGTAAAGGTAGGTATGCACTTCTCCTAAGAATACTGTCAAACATAAGTGAGATGTATAAAAAGGTCCCTGAGGAAGGTTTTGCTTCTGTTCATAGTTCCTTTAAGAGTTCAGTTCCTAATGAGCTCTTAGTGTAAGGACTTATAGTTTCAGTGTAAAAAGTATCTCTGAGTTTATCTGAAGTCAGACAGATGATGTGGTTTATCCACAGTTAGTGATTTTATTATAAAGTTCCCTCCTTGTTGTTGTCCTTTGACTTTTACAGCTCAGCCAAGAAACACTTTCTTTGGGAACATGAGGAGGGAACTGAAAAAGATTCAAAACATTATCTTCAAATAAACGGATGAATACATTTTTCCACTGCTCAAGAACTGAGCCGTTCTTTCCTGATCACTCCCATTGGACGCCTGTTCAAAAAGGAGATGTTTGTGTTGTTTATACTGACCGTTAAAGACGAGTCTGTCGTTTGAAGATAATACAGAGTGCAGAGGAAGGTTTATAATCAAAAGATGAAACTTTGAAAGGGAATCGATATTCAGTCGAAAAAGTCCACAATGTTTGGACTTCAATCGGGCCGAAATTACATGATAAATCTAAACAGATAATAATTTTAATTTGATATTGAGCGAGCAAAATATAACTACCAATGAATTGAACTTATTTTTTTGTTTTAGGCATTTTCCTCCTAAACACAGATGATGACGTGGAACACTAGCCAATCAGTGGTGGTCTTGTTTTAAAATCTGGATGCTTTTCCAAATGCTTTCGATTCCGAGACGAGACAGAGACCTTTGAAAAGCGTCTTGAGACCGGCAATATTACTAGATTTGGTTTTGAACGTTGTAACTCGAGTGAATAGAATCAGTACAGCTGCTGTTTTTATTCCTAGTGTTGATTAGGAAAGTTCACACATCTAACGTTGATAATGAAATCCAGCCTTTTGCTGTAACCTGCATTTGATTAAGCAGTGAGCAGAAGATAATCAGAAGGAAAAACATGTTGATGAATATCCTGTAAATGCTGTCAGAATGTTAATCAATGTGAATCTGTATCATTAGACCACATTTTAGTTAATGCTGTAAAAATCAGGAGCACTTTAAAGAAAATTCTACACATCCTGCATATTTAAGAAGAACCCTGCAATACAAGGATTGACCACTAGATGGAGCCAAAAACATGCAAGATTTTCGCCCTGCAGGAGGGAAACTTTGGGACTCCATTCACTTTCATGTGTCTCTTTATAATTCGGCGGAATATCATTTTTCTTCTCTTTAACTGGCATTGACTGTGTTTCTTCAGGTGAAGACATGGCGTATGAACATGTTCACCATCGTGCAGCTGGCTTGCATCGTGGCCCTCTGGGTAGTGAAGTCCACCGAGGCGTCGCTGGCGTTCCCCTTCGTCCTCATCATGACGGTGCCGCTGCGTCGCCTCGTCCTCTCCAGGATTTTCGAGGAGCGTGAGCTGCAGGCGGTAGGTTTGGAAGCAGAGACTGTCCAGGAAATGTTTGAATCTCTGCCACCACTATCTGATCCCACATAGCCTCAAGATGCTTACTTTACAGCAAATTTAACATTAGATGGATGCTGGCATGTTTTCTGCCCAACACTAACAATCCATAAAGAAATGCTACAAATGATTTCGTCCCTTGTGATCATGGACAGCTTTCTCATCCAAATATTTTCACACGATATGAAAATATTTTCCTTTTTCTTTCTCTTGAGTTTTAACCAGAGAAAGCTTCACAGTCCATCCTGAGGCAGTGCTTCTTGTTTTCTTGGTTAGATCTCCCAAACCCATACATGTCATCACTGTGACATTGAAACCTTCCCGTTCCAAAATGTCAATTTATTCAGGAGCTAGGATAAACAGCCTGCTCCTGACCCGACCACCATTCATGGTGTGTTCATCCAAAGGTCTCATGAACCCAGAGCACCGTACAGTTGCCTTACACGACCATTTCATACCTGGAAATCTATCCCGCTTTACAAGCCCGACTCAGTTTTAGTGTTCCTGGTAGATAAATGTATGCTAAGCTACCTGCCTGATGATGATTTGTCTTTCCACAGCTGGATTGCGACGAGGACTCTCCCAACTTTGACGAAGATGGACGGGACGAGTACAACGAGATCCACATGCTTGTGTAAATTTAAAATTGGACCTTGCCAGTAGGACTTCCTCCTCCATCCTCCACTCCTGACCAATCAGAGTGAGCCTTTTTTTTGGAAACCTCAGCGTCTCTGGGTAGCAGTGACACAGATGGAGGAGCTACTGAAATGGTGTTTATAAAATACTTCAAATGTTCTGGATATATCTATCTGGATAATCACTTTCTACCCCCTGTATAGTCCAGTTTTCCAAAGAGCACACCTGCTGTTAGATCTCTGTGATGTTGTGCAAAACTCCCTGAAGATTTTATCGTGTCAGAGGCCATAAAAAGACTAACCCTGAGCACCTAACTAAAACCTGAAGTGGACGATGCAAATATAGCAAAAAAGCTTACCTTATGAGAATATTTAGAAATCTTTTTATTCTGTCTATCCCTTTAAATACTCTGCAGGTTGTGGGCATAAGTGCAATGTTGATGGGGACTACATGGAGGGGATCATTTTGCACTTCCTTTTGCCTGAAGGTGGGAAATAAGGGTCAATTTGCTCTCATTTAAGCAGATTTTCTTGAAAAGTTATACATTTTCTGGCTAATTGACCCTAAATCTCAAAGTCCAGAATTCCACTGCCCATGCAGAGAAGCTGCCAGATTTCCTATATAACACTGCCGTTGCCTGTAGGTTGCAATGATGTGCAAACAAGGAGTTAAACGGTCCTTTTCCTTTCTGTACAGACTTCAAGTAATGAGCACTTTGACTGGGCAAAAGTTCACCTTTGTCGCTGCCAACAGAGCTCCCTGGCACAAAGCCTCCTCCCTAAATGTAGTCTCCCCTCCAAGCCAAAATCTCCACAGAGACTGTGCAAGCCTCTTCACGGGGGTGTTACTGTACTTTGTTCGGTGTTTCATGCCCAACATACCAGTACTCTGACCTTATTATTGTGACCTTGGATGTATACTGTAAGTAGATAGCTAACATGGTCTAAACCTTATTTTTCTACTTTGTCGTACGTATTTATTTTGTGACCTTTGGACTCGATGCCGGACTCTTAGTGGTGTTTAGACTCCCAAGTACCCATAGCTATACAAGTATACAATAAAAAGAACATTGTGTAGGTTGACACATTGAAAAACAGAAGATGTCATTATTCAGCTGTTCTTTCATCTCTCCGCAGTGTTTCCATGGCGAGGTGCATTTTTCACACATGTCATGAATAATATAAGAACACACTGGAGTGGAAAAGCATAGAAACCAGGCAAACACACACGAGCACTGAAAACGCCGGGGAACAGTTGAGCGTTGGCAGAATGTATGAATGATGCATTGTACGGTTCGACTGTGAGCTTTGGAATTATAATGTACCATCTGTGTTCAGAGTTGTTTGGAAATGCCCAGAGATTGAGTTTTCACCTCCTATATTTTTGAGCCCACTATAGAATTTTAATAACCATTCAGCTGTGACACTCCAACTTTTTCAGAAACTCGACTTCTGCTACACAGAAACACCAGTTGTGAGAGCTTGTGTACATAAACGTTTATCAAATCTAGTTATTCATGAGTATGTTGAGTCTAGGTTTGAACAGGTCTATGTATTAGATACGCAGACAAACTTTCTCCTGTAGACTGTATATAAAAAGTGGACTTAGCCTCTTGGTTTCAGAAGTGAAGTCATTGCTGAAGTGCCTTAAACCTATATTCTTTCTAACTGCCACCAGGGGGAGACTCCACCGGTTGCAAAAAAAAGAAAAGAAGTCTGGCTGTATTGAAGCAGACAAGATAAGGATCCTTCTTCAGGTTTCATTTATTACCTCAGTGCAAAGTCTCATAAATCACGGTTCATGATCTATTTTTAAGTATTCTAAACAAAGCATGACCATAGATTTTTTAAATTACAGTCCGATTTGGTGGAAAAAAATCAACTATAGAGCAGGATATGATTAAAGGCGTGGCTACATCTGATTGACAAGCCACTTTGAAAGCAACCAGTAAACTACGATGGAGTCGTAGCAAAGTGTTTTCAATCTCTTGTTCAAATATGATTCTTTATGGTTAAAGGCAGGGTTGGTCATTTTCTCCAGATAGACTTTTTAAGATCTTGGTTGAAATTGTCTTTAGGTCCTGAGTTGTAAAACAGTTTTTTAACATATATTATGATAAAGTTTAGAGTTTACTTACCGCTGAATGAGTCATGAGACGACGTAGTTTCTACATAATGCAAGTGATGAGCTGAGGTCCGCTTCTGGACCAACAGCGCTCGTGCATGTAAGTGAGGGGCGTGGCTTTTGAGGGAGCACTGAGGGGAGGTGCTGGGTGTAGACAGAGCACTGAGGGAATGCTACTTTCAAAATCATGCTCGTTTTCGGAAATAACCCTGCCTTTAAGAAAAAAACATGTTTATGGCCAATATACTGGTACATTGGCTTTAAGAATAAAAAGAGGGGTTCGCAAACAAATGGTTGAAATCATGGTGTCTATGTGCACCTCTTTTATACAGTTTATGAATGAAGCAAAGTTCAATCCTGAGGACAGGAGACAGTGAGAGGAGGCCTGAATGAAACAACACTGGGGCGTTCTGTGTTCACTCCTTCAAACATAACGCTAATAAAGTTTTGTCAAATGAAAAAAAAAAATTAAAAGGAATTGGTGCACTTGAACAGAATTGAACGGTGGCGTGAAATACCTGGAAGTGCAAAAAGATCACTGAGCTTTCAGATCACTGTAAGAGCAATGGAGAGGACGGTAGTTCCTCGGAAAGCTGCTGGATTTGAAGGATGAAACTATTTAAAAATGGAGGAATGTTCCTGCACAAATGTAAATTGAATGCAGTAAATATTCTACCTTTTATGCTTACAGTATTTATTTTTTTCTCTGTGTCTCATCTGCACTGTATCTGCTGTAAAGCAAGAAACATTTGGTGGAGAGTGAGTCAGCTGAGTAGAATTTTGTAAATAGCTATAAAATATGACAAAGATAAAAACTGATATAGTCATATATATTTGTATCTGCCTGATAACCATGATTACACCTGCAGACATACAATCAGAGAAAAATAAATGAAGTGCTAAAAAGCAAATTACAGATTACGATGTTACAAAAGTCTAATTACACAAAAGCTCTTTCAATGGTCAGCGGTGTAGCAGCGTTTTTGTATTCAAACCACAAAGATTACAATATCTCATCTCATGTAACCATGCCCTACATTACGAGCCATCCAAGAATTCTGTCTCAGGGGAAACTGACCTTTGATCTGTACATATTGATTCCCAGCCTTTCAGTTTGTTGCCTCTTTTGTGTACATAAAGCGTTCAAGGCAATCCAACACTTGCAATGTAAAAATATATGTGGCTTACAGTCCGGGCTTTTGTGTTAGACAAAGGGAGGGGAAAAAAGGAGGTCAAGTGAAGAGAATAATGTGTTTACTCGAGTGCAGTCACATGGAATTCAAACTGTAAATTAAAACCTTTATTTTCCCTCCATTGTTCTCTGTAAGCCTACGTTTGAGGCTCTACTTTGATGTGAAGCATGCACCTGCTGCAGTCTGTATTTCACTCTGCAGCTCTCCCAGTTAATGAGTTACTGAATGTGCTTTATATTAGCACTGTATAGCAGTTTCATTAAAAAAAATAGGCTGCACCGGTAATGGACCTTTTCAGCCACATGTTTATGTTGCAGGGCGTAAAAAGACTGGAGTTTTCTCTATTATACGTACATGACCACACTGTGTTCATGACATGAATGAATGTAAATGTTCAGGTGTCTGTATTTGTAGACACATTAAGCCATGCTGAGTGTAATTCATGGAGCTCTATTAAGGACTACAGCTACTGAGTGATAGTTGACTGTGAGCCATGATTTGAGCGCACAGCACAGATTATGTGTTAGATGTCTGTCCACAGTTGTAACTAAACTTATTTTGAAATATGATGTTGAGCCAACCCTTAATCCGAACAAATAACTTTTAAGAAATCGAGGAAAAAAAATGTAAAATTGTTCACCTATTTTATTGTCTTGCATCTGTATTTATTTTTATTATAAGTCACAGAGTATCCTTACATGAGTGTCTGGAATTATTGACTTGAGGAATTAAACAATAGTCAGGAAGATAATGTTTTCATGTTTATATTTGTTTTATTTCTGGTAAGATAATCAAATTTAACAGAAGTTCTTAAAGGTATAATTACAGTAGTAAAGGTCTTGTAGGTGTCGGTGATTTGATTCTTAGTTCATGGAAGTATGTTAGAATAACCTGAGGCCTAGTCAACAGGTAAGCGGGTATTTTTGAAAAGCGGAGGTTTTTCTGTGAGTTTTTGGACTTTAGTACACAAACGGCATTTTAGGTCACTGAAAGACACGTTTTGGAAGACTCCTTCAGAAACTCCATTTAATGTGTTAGTGTGTAGACGGGGAAACAGAGTTTTGGGCTTGTAATGTCACACTATGCACCGGTTTCTCCTCATTTAGATGCTGTCACTTTTGTTTACATGAGATTAGTGCGATAACAGACGTAACCAAACTAGTGCTCCCGCTACTGTATGTTGACGAGCAGAGGCGCCTGAATGGAAAACTTTGTAAATGAAATGGTGATTGCAGAGGAATGGCGAGGACATTTTAGCATGTCATGGACATCATTTTTGACTGAAATGCTCATGACAGCCGTAAGAGTGCATTTTGTGTTTTCATGACGAAGCTGTTTTGTGAGAACTAAGCGTGTGTGGACAGGATTATTGTCTTTTTTCGGTTCCTGTTGGTTTACTCTTACGATAAAACTTCACCATTATGCCTCCACAAACAGCATCCCTGAGTGGGCGGGGCCATCTCGTTTACCCTGTGTTAGTGGCAGTTTTACAGAAGAGGTTCAAAACATGTAGCCTATGAAACATGTTTAAAGCCTGATTTACACTTCTGTAACTTCAAACCATAACCAGCCTAATGCCTGTTATCAGTTAGTGTAACATACTAGTCTTACAATACAATACAATCTTATAAAAACAGTCAAGATTAAATGGAAATCAACTGTGATGGGTCAAAACCTTTGTGACTAGAACAGAGCAAGCACATGTTGTTGGTACTACAAGGATTGGTACATCTGAAACCATTGGAACTATGTATTAGCGTGGCTGGCTGACCCTCAGTGGTTAGAAAGACTCACAGGGGTCAACGTCCTTTGTTTTCGGAGAATACAAGTCTGTTAAACTGTTCAACACATCCACGTGCTCCTGTTATGACAAGAACTGGTGTGTCTGTGTGGAGCTCCGCAGTCCAGAGCCCAAGACAGAGCCAGTGAACGTGTCCTTAGCAAAACATCCTCTTATTGTTTACATGAGGGGAAAAAGTGGAATTGTGGGTATTATTTAAGATAATAAGAGGTATGGTGCTGCCACTCTGTCCTGTCTCGGCCCTGGATGTAAAACAAGCAAGATGAAGAGAAAAATACTTCTTTTCTTTTTTCTTTTTTTTTTTACCCTGTGTCAATGGTCTGAGTTTCCCACAGTTCGTCACCTTACACCACCAGGGCAGCAGCGCGGACCACCCAGCCAATTCTAACACTGGGCTCTGTTGTTTTCTAACCTCTTTTAATTGAACGTCACTGGTTTGAGTGAAGTTGTCTGGTGATCCTGGAGTTCTCGCCCATGACATTTAGTGTTCGCTTTACCCATTACACAAGTCTACAGTAAATCACATATGTGAAACCACATCATCCATTATGGAGAAGGCTGCTCACGCTGATATTCTCTTAAAGGCAGAATGTGTGACATTTTACACAGAAATACAGCTGAAAATGCAGTATGCTCTGTAAATGTCTCTCTGAGTCATGACTGTGAGTGAGAAGTGCGAGTCCCGCTGTCTGTGTTGTTGTCAGTGCTGTGTTTACATGGACATTGCGAATAGATGCTGTTTAGGTGAGGGACTAGAGCAAGGGTCTACAACAGGAAGCTTGGGGGCAGGTTTTAAGTAACTCGCCTATAGGTTGACTGAATAATCTGACGACAGTAAATGCACTTTTTCCCACAATTCATATGTTTGGCCCATAAAAACAAGTGTAAAGTAGTAATGTTTTCTTGGACCTTGATGTGAATTTAAGATAAGTGATAAACATTGGCTTATTGCAATTTCACACGTGTACAAACAGTAGCTTAATTCAGCTGATGTGTGCTATGTAAATAAATAAATGCAAGCGATTTGACGCAAGTAGCTCTTGGCCACTTTCATTTTTTCAAAGTAGCTCTCAGATGAAGAAAGGTTGGAGACCCCTTGGGCTAGAGAAGGGTTATTCCGTGTAAATGTACATGCAATGTGCAGCTACGAGCTAACTAAAGAGCACTACTATTAGCATGCTAACACAACAATGCAGCTCGAGCTGAGGACACATTTGCTGCTTGCGCTCAGTACAACTCCTTTGTGCAAACGCGAGGGGAGAAGGGGTTGGAGTTGTGTCGCTGGAGGAGAGCGGAGGATTCAGTGTAGCGGAGATGTCGCCAAACAGCAGTCTTAGACTTTTGGTCTGTTTAGGCTCAATGGCGACATCTACTGGATCAAAAAGTTGCACATTCTTCCTTTAAACTAACAGAGTTAAGGCAGATGGTATCTTTTTGATATTAACAGGATACCAATTTTTAAAAAGGAACAGCACATCAAATGATGACTGATAATTTTTAAGCATGATTTTTTTTGTTGTTGTCATATTTAGTTGATTCCCTTTGTTGTAAATTGAAACAAATCTTTAGAGCATAGTCGTTTTTTTTTATTTAGTGATAAGACCATTAAACATAGAAGGTGTAATTTGAGTAGTGACAGGTGTGATTTGCAGGAACACCTGAACCATGTGACACTCTAAGAAAGCCAGGATTCTCTTGAAATGACACAATTTATTACAAAGATACTTTGTGCTATTTTAAAGTCATTTTTCAAGTTTCATTTCTCGAGCGAAGAAAACAACTCAGTCGAGGTCCACAATTGTACAATTAGTCTTGAGAAAACAGTATACCCCTCCTTGGTTTGGTGCTCAACTCTTTTCAATGCCCTCTTGTGTACTTGATCTCTTTTCAATATGCAGGTAGAGTAGAGTCAATATTTGCAGATTTGGGTGTTGATTTCCAGTCGGTTTGGCCG